CCCAAAGAGTATTAAAGAATTTTGAAGAGGATCCTACCACTCCTTTAGCTCAACGGTAAGTTTATTTTATTTACACAAATTTTAAGATTACTGATATTATTATTTTTTTGTTCCAAAAATAGCATTTTTGAATTTTTTGTATTGAAAGGTAGAATTGCTCGTACTCCTACAAAGATGTTCCGAGGACTAGTCTCCCAGGTTTTAGAGATCAATTGACCGCTTTATGTGCAACCAACGTAAGCATGAATAACTTCTTTATTTTTATTTTTATTGTTTTTTTTTACATTTTGACAACCATTCTTATGTGAGTTAATTTCTTTACTTTCCAATGTTTTCACAGTTTCTTTGGCAACCCTACGAGGATCTCCTTTCATCCCTCCCTGATTGTTGTAAACAAGGTAGTAACATTTGGATGACAAGGTCGTAGATGTTTTATTGGGAAGTCCAAGAACTCTACGAAATTGACAGGGTCGTGACACAGTTTGACTATATTCAAGAAATTCCCCAAACTCCTATAATTGCCAATATCCAAGAGAATAGGTTAGCTCACAAACACAACATGTCATGGCTAACCGAGAAAAAATGGGTGGATCACCATCAAAATGTGCGCTCTCATTGGATTAGGAGAACCCGACACCTTCCTAGGAATTTGGTGGAAGGAGAGCTCGGCCAAACTTTGGAGGACTATGAAGAGCGGTTGAAAAAGAATTCGGTGAAATTGTTATCCGATCTGAGTAATTAAACACCAGTCAGATATGAGCCTTCCTCGACCCGGGTGAAAGTATATGTAAGTGTTTATTTGTAATTAATAGTTCATTTTAATCTATTCCTCCAAATTTTTAATTATACTCTTTTACTTAACCCATCATTTTATTTCCAGGCTGAAATACTGAACAATATCCGCGTTAAGGCCATGACATTCTGAGAAGACTGTCGTAAGGCCAGTGACCTAGACATTGACCTCGAAAAAGTGCACAGTGAGATCGTGAATCAAACTCATGCAATTTTAACTCTTGGAAAAGACGATGAGATGGATATTGAGGATTCCCAAATCCTAAAGGATTTTGAACCTTCTCAACACAAACTACCTCCGCGCGGTCCCGAAAGAATAAATTAGAGGAGGAAGAAAGTGAAAGATAGGGAATCCATTCAAGACTTCTCAATCACAGCATCACGAGGAAGGTTTGAGCCACCACGAGCAATGGAATGTGAGAGGAGGAGAGGAAATGGGAGGAGAGAATGTGGGAGGAGGGGAGGATGTGGGAGGAGAAAATGTGCGAGGAGAGGAGGATGTTGGTTCTTCGAGAGGATCTCACACCCCACACGAAGAAGAGCCACTTCTCACCATTGCACTAGAAGAAGACTCGCAAGTTCTAAACTTGATCCCACTTGAGACAATTGGGCCAGAATCGGCGGAACCAATTGTTCGCAAATTCGACAGATCGTGCACCACACCGAAGAATTATATCGCGCCAACTATTCCTAAGAGAGGGAAAAAATGATGGTAGATTAGTATTTTTAAGGTTATTGGATGATTTTGTATGTAAGTTATGAATTTTAGAATATTTTCCATTTGAATGTTATGAAAATATTTTTATTCCATTTGAATGTTATGAAAATATTTTTGTTTTATTATTGGTTCTTTTCTCTTCTTTATTGTGTTGTTGGTGTTGTTTAAACAGGTTTAGGACTGGTGAAAACCAGTCCAATATTTTTTTGCCATTGTATGGTAAATTTTGGATTTGCAAAATCTGAGTCTTACCATTTTGTTCGGATTTTGGAAATCTAAGAGTTTGTGCACAAAAATGCATCCGGGAGTTGCATTTTATCAATGAAATAGGAGAGACTCGGATTTCGGAAATCCGGACGCTGGTCTCTCAGATTTCGGAAATCCGGAAGCTACTCATTCAGATTAGGGAAATCTGTAAGTAGGTAAAGAAAAAAACCATCCCAAACTTACATTTTATCAGGAAAATAGGGAAGACTCAGATTTATGTAATCCGTGTCCCGTGTTCTCGAATTCAGGTAACCCCAGTCTCTTCCTTGTCATTTTCAATACTTAGATTTTTTTTCTCTAAAAAATAAAATATATTTTATTCCTTGGACACGGATTACAATAATCCGAGAGAAGGAGTCTCAGATTACCCTAGTCCGTTTTTAGTCAACTTTTATTTTCAAATAGTTAGATTTTTTTCCACAAATTAAATTATTTTTAATTGTAAACTTTTGGATAACCTAAATCCGACTCTTGTTTAATTTTAATTAATCCTTTGATTAAAATTAAGTAAATTTTGGTTAACAAAGTTTCGGATTACCCTAATCTATAATTTGCTTGTTTCAGATTTGTCAAATCCGACTGGTCGTTGATTTCGGATTTGGCAAATCCGTAACAACTACTTCTGCCCACTTCATTTTGTTTCCTATTGTTTTTGTCCAGGTTCTTGCTTTAACAATTTTTTCGGTAAAAAAATTCACGGTTTTTGTGGATTTAAAGGTATTTGTACTACTGTCTCTTTGAGCTTTTCTCTCTGCTTCCCTTCCTGTACTGGTTTAACTCCAAAAATTATTGAAATTTCAGATTACAAGTGTTTTTGTATTTGTTGCTCTGTTTGTCAATTTACCTTCTTTTTTTCTGTAATTGTTTCATATCAAGCAACTGTTATTCATGTATCAAAGTTTGTGAGTTTTTTTTTTAATAATCATAATATTCGATGAAATGCATTTGCTATCACTTTTATTTTTGGATAATTGCATGCCTAAATTCATCATTACTGTGGCTTCTTCTTCAAATTTTTGGTTGTCTTCTTCCACTAAAACATACATGAAGTAACTTTTCTCATCGATTCGATTGAATTTACACTTTGCAGGGATCAACCATCGAGGGACAAGCAAATAAACAGAGCATATCCAAGTTTGAACCGATTCTTCAAGAAGAAGAGACAAAGCTTATTTCCAACTATGGTGTTATTATGAATTACGGTTCTTAGAGAGCGAGCAGGCATAGTTGAAAAATACAATTGTACAGTTGTACACATGTGAAGACAGTCGATACTTTCGACATTTTCCCTTATCCCGTATTCAACTTTGAACCTTTCAAAAACATCAAAGAGCACAACAACGATGCTAATTACTTAGCTGGTATGGACTTTCCTCTCAAATTTTATTTTGAAAAATTTTAATTTTATGGATATTATTTATGAGATATTTACTAACTGCAATGTCTAATAATTTCATATCTTATTGGCCGAATCGTTGGAAAAGGAGACCTCATATGTGAGGTTAAAAATGACAAGGAACAGAAAAAAATGTTGGTGGGACTTGAAGATTTAGAGTAAGTTAGTTCATCTTTAAATATCTTCCGAAATTCTATTTACTCAACTTAAGAGCTTAGTTTGAGTATATGATGTTGATAATATTAGTTGTCGGCTTAAACTTTTCTTTAAATGAAGGAAAATAAAATTATGAAGTGCATGTAAAAACAAAGTGATCCTTGCTTTATGGCAAATTGAATTGTGTTTTAAATGACATGTTTTTCCTTTGCCTTTGTTGTAGTTCTTTTAACCATGCAGCTGTAACTATGGATTTGATTGGTATTTTTGAAAATCACATTAGCTCTAGAAAATATCTCCTTTGGTTGGCATGATAGTATGCAGAGTTTAGGATATTTGCATATCAATTATATGTATTCAACATTCATTCATTTTCATTGATTTTTATAAAATACTCACCAAAGTACCGGATTTTTAATTAATGCTGCTAAATAATGGTTTACTTCTTTCTTATGTCAATTCGTACAATTGAGTATATTTTTCTTTTTACAATACAAAGAAAAAATTGTTTGTGCAAGTATATTATGTATATGCTCTAATGTAATGTATCAAGTTTAACAGGAATGAGAAAATTTAGGTACTCTTATGGGATGACCATGTTCAACAAGTTGTAGACTACTTGGGGGGGTGCTTTGGCTAAAAAATGGGGTAGAAAAAGGAGTAGAGAGATCTATATTTTTTTTTTTTTGGTAAAGAAAAATGTCGAGCTCGGATTCTCAAAATCCGGCCTACTAATTAAATTAGTAGTTCGGATTTTAAGAATCCGATTTAATAAAATAAAAATTTTTATTTCCGGAAAATATATGTGAGAAAAATGTATTGAAAGTCAAATAAAGAACAGTCAAAGGTCGGATTTTAGGAATCCGACCTTGTTTATTTTCATAAAAAAATACAGGCGGGAGATTTAAAAATTAAGAACAGTACAACATCGGATTTACAAAATTCGATCTTATTTAAGCATACCTAACAGTAGGTATCGGCATTGAATGGACATTATTAGCTGGCAGAAGATCGGATTCTTGAAATCCGGCCTTACATGTAAATCGGATTTTCTAAATCCGATTTTATAAGTAAAATCGGATTTTAGAAATCCGACTTTATTGTGTTATAATGGGGCGACGGAAAACACTGTTCACATATCGGGATTTTTGGTAAAGTAGGCTATTTCTTGAAGGAGGAGGTGATTTTAGTGGCGATTTGAAGATTTTGTTCACGATTCTTCGCAACGGAAGTCTTAAAACCATTTCATAAGAAGGTTAGTTAATGTTTTGATGTATTTAGAATTATTTTTGTTATTTTCTGTGTAAAAGTTTAGAACTAGGATGATTTATAAGGTTTTAGGGTTGATGTTGGGTGTAGTTGATGATTGTTGTTGTATACGTGGTATTGAACGTTCAATTTAGTAAAATGCTTGAATTTGGCCTAAACTTTTGAATTTGTAGGGGGGTTTAGTAAATTTAGTGTTGATTATGCCTTGTTTGTGGTAATTGTTATAATAAGTTGTTTGATAATGCCTTGTTTGTGTCATTTTTTTTTAATAATTTGTTCATGATGTGTTGTAATTCATGTAATCAACAGATATAAATGGCGTTTAACGGTCCATATTTCATTAATGTCTATTGGTCGAGCAAATTTGTAGTGAAGAATGGGATTGTGAATAGTTTTAACAACATGCCGGACGATTCCTTTGTGATTGATCATAAGTTATTGTACAATGATTTGGTTGGACTGATTTGTGAAAGAGTGGGGTGGAATAGAAAGAATGTGAATTTGAGTCTATCGATTTTGTATGATACGATGCGCAATGGTTTTAGGCGTATCGCCAAAATCAAGGACGACGCATCGTTGCAAGTGTTGTATTTCCTCCCAAGTTCGACATATATTGATTTGTATGTAGATTTGGAGGTGGCGGGTACTTCTAGGTCCCATTTGGAAGTAGGGACAAGTAGTGGTAGGCCGAATGTGGAGAATGTCGATTACATGGAAGATGATGATGTGGGTGGATCGTTTATGGAGGATGGCGATCACATGGAATATGATCACGGTGAAGATGATGAGGACTACACATCGATAAGTGATCAAAGCGATGAAAACCAATCAATATCCGAAGGAAGTCGGGAGAGTGATGAAGAGGTCGAAGACAAATTCGCCACAAAGGATAGGCACATATATCGTTCACAGGGTACATGGGATCATACAAAAGTGGACAAGGATGATTTTCAACTTACCATGTGGGATGGGACAACCGCAACAATTGGGATAGGGACTTGTTTCAAGAATAAGGAAGAAGCAAAAAATGGTATTGCAGCGTGGAACATAGAGCAAAAGAGAGAGTTTTATGTGAAGGAAAGTGATGGTTCAACATGGTCTATTTGGTGCAAATCCCTAAAAGAGTCAACCCCTAAGGGTTATGATCCTTGCCGTTGGAAGGTACGTGCCTCCTTGAGAGACCACGGTTTGTGGGAGATTGTGAAATGGGTGCCCGAGCACAATTGTATGAATGTCACCGAGGATAACAATAATCGGAATGTGAGCGCAACGCTTATTGCGCATCTCATAAGGCATAAGGTTGAGTTGGACCCAGATTATGAAGTGAAGGTAGTTCAGGAAGAAGTGAAAGACCGTATGCATTTCGATGTTCCTTACCACAGGGCATGGGAGGGAAGGAGAAAAGCTATCGATCTTGTTTACGGCGACTGGGTTTCCAATTTTGACATACTTCCAAGGTATTTACTTAAGTCCTATCTAATTTTTTTTATTTGTTTGTAATTTAGGAATAAAATAAGGATTAATTTTTTTTATTTTAATTTAGATTTTTCGCCGCCCTAGAGAAGAGCAACCCCGACACAGTTGTAGAGTGAGAATGGCAACCGGGTTGGACCGATATAGAGAGGACGTTCAAATACATTTTTTGGGCATTCAAGTCTGCAATTGATTGTTTTGCTAAATGTCCTCCGGTGATTAGTATCGACCGTTAGTGACATGTTTGATGGGAATAAGATTTATGCAGAGTGTTTAATCAACGAGTGTCTGCGTCCGATCCCAGAAAATGCCCCAAGAGAAGCCTATACACAGAGGGCCCGTGCATTACTGTTACTACTGATTGGAGGTTTCTTGATTCCTGACAATACGGGAAACAGAATACCACTTTGGATCCTGACAATACTCGAGGATTTGGATGTCTGTGCTACCTACAGTTGGGGGTCAGCTGTGTTAGCTAAGTTGTACTTTGCTCTGTGTCAAGCTTCCGCGCCCGGGAAAAAAGACATTACCGGATGTTTTATGCTGATGCAGGTGAATTTTTGTGTTTCTTTGTTTATTTATATTTTTTTTATTACATTTTTTTTTGTTTTCCTAATTTGTGCCTTTTCTATTTGATTTAAAATTTCAATTATGGGTTTGGGACCGTATCCCAAGACTTCAACCAAAGAGGAAGGTTAAAGATGAGAGTTACTTGGTGCCGGACGCACCATTAGGCAATAGGTAATGATTTATTTTATTATTTTTTATTTCCTATTATGTCTCAATCCAATGATTTATTTTATTATTTTTTATTTCCTATTATGTTAAAATCCAATGATTTATATTATTATTTTTTATTTCCTATTATGTCTCAATCGTAGGTGAAAATGCCCAAAATCCAAAGCGAACATCGCCGCTCATTGTGTTGCTGGCATCAGGGATCAGTTATCTAGCCTAAGGGATGGGGATGTAAGTATTGATTTAAGTTGCTTGAAAAAATTCTTTTTCTTATTTTCCTCTATTTTTTTTTACCAATTTTTTATTTTTGGACAGTTTCTATGGACTCCATACACTCCCTTCATCGACGATCTCCCTGATTTCTGTAAAGACGGGGTTAATTTCTACCTCTGTAGGACGTGGATCGTTTGTTGGGCCATCAGAGAACCATACGAGCCCAATCGGGTCCTTCGTCAATTTCAATGCGTCCAAACTGTGCCAGAGTACCCGTTAATCAATGACATTGATCGCTCGAATGCGATACACCACGGATGCCTTGGGACTGGAAAGGCATATGATGATTGGGTGCAAAAACACACTGAGGTACAATCTCATTGGAATGTGAGAGATCAGCACGTGGTCCCTCATGAATTGGGTGATCCGGGACTAGGTCCTCAATGCACATCGGACTACATGCCGTGGTTTCAAAAGAAGACTATATGATTTATGACTGATTCCACTCAATACGGCCCTCTGGCACAGGGTTATCACTCGTCTTCATCTCTGGAGAGATTTTATGTAAGATCTAATATTATATTTTGACTTAAATTTTTTTTTTTTAATTTTAATTCTTGCTATATCTTACACTTTATTCACATGGTTCAATTTTCTGCAGTCTTCAAATCTCAGCGACATATATCATCTCGCTGATGCAGCCTTACGGGAAAATCCAAGTCTCGGTGGTAGTCTGGAGGATAAACTCTTCCAAATCTTCGAAAAGAGTTTCAGTGCCCTGACTTTGGGCCCACGTGATATGAGCACTCAGTCCGATACTCAAGTTCTTCAGAAAAGACCCCCTGAGTCAAGTCAAAATGTGGTACTCACGCAGAAAACAACATCGAAGGCTACTGGAGGAGGAAGGAGGAAGCGACCGGGAATTTCAGATCGAACAATCATAGTTCATCCTAATCCAACTCCGATGCAAGAAGATGATGAAAATGATGAAGGCAATGAAAGCGATGAGGATTACTATATTAGGGGCGAAGAAGAAGAAGAAGAAGAAGAAGAAGAAGAGTCCTCTCCACCTTGTGTTTCTTCCCAAAAGAAAAAGAAAACGGTCGAGGTTCGCAAGAGTGATAGGGTTAGTAAACCGGCCAAGAAGTATACTCCCGGCGATGGGGCAAGAAGGAAGAAAAGGTCGTCAAAGTAATTCAATTGTAGGACTCTTTAATTTATAACTCTCTCATGTATAAATGTTGTAATTTGGATGATTTGGGATTTGAATTTGTTAATGTTTGTTTTGATGTGTTTAGAATGTGTTTATAGGTAATTTTATTCGTGAAATTTGGTTTTGGTGCTGTTTTGATAGATTGGGATTGGTTTAGAAACCAATCTTTTATTTTTTTCAAAGAGTCTGTCCAAGGTCGGATTTAAGAAATCCGACCTTCTACTTGTTTTACGAAGAAATCGGATTTTGAGAATCCGAACTTAGCTTACACGGATTCTCAAAATCCGATTTAAGTTTACTCGGATTTCTGAAATCCGGCCTTACTGTAAAATCGGATTTTAAAAATCCGACTTCGGTCAAAATTTTATTTCAAAAAAAAAACTAAGTGTTTTTCTGAAAATATATTATTTTAATATAATAGGGTCGGATTTTAGAAATCCGATTTTCTCTTAATCTTGATTAATTTCATTAATTTTTCGTATTTAGCGTAGGTCGGATTTGGAGAATCCGATGTAGGTCAAAAATCGGATTTTAGGAATCCGATATCGGTATTTTTCTATTCCCAAAATTCGACCTATATTTATCTCTACTACTTTTTTTGAACCATTTTTTAACTCAAAAACTCCTACTTGGAGCCTAAAAATTGAACCGATGTCATACTCATTATCCAAATTGTGAAATGTGGAACATGAATGGTATAATCAATTTTTAATATGAAGTTCATATTTCTTTCAATATAGTATAGATACACCCTTTGTTCACTTATAATGTTTAAGTTGACAAGGCAATTTTCCATCACCACCTCGAAGCTTAATGGTAAAATCTACATCGATAGTGATATGGCTGCAATTAGAGATTTCAAACTCAGGTATAGTTCATTTCATCAACATTCATAATTGTTAATTATTTACATTAAGTTTTCACATTTTGCATAGTCTTTAACGATTCATGTAAACAGGATGGATAATTCAAACAACAAGACAGAATCTGAAAAGTCACTATCCCTTTTATCGGTAATGACATCTTTTGGAACTTTTGAAGCCTTTAAGAAAGATATTGAATCTGTGGATGGCATCAACCATGTTGGGGAGGTTAGTATATTGTTTATATACATTTTCACCACACATTAGCCTTGCATTTATTGATAAATATGGAATCATTGAAACCATGCTTGTCAATGTGGCTATAATTGTTGACATAACACAAGATGATGATGGTTCTACATTGCTTGCAAGAAATGCAATAGAAAGGTTGTTTTTATGTCATACAATCTGATGGTCCTCTGGCGGCGGATGGCCAAATTCCTGCTGTAGAGTTTAAATATGCTCACTGTGACACTAAGAACGTTGCAGCATTGCCCAGGTACTATGCATTTCAGCACATTAAATTTTAAACTTCTTTTTTTTGGATAAAGGTTTTGCACTTATTGCTTTTATGTGATGCATTCGCATTTTTCAGATTTAAAGTTCAGGCGGCTGTTGTTGATTTAACTATAATTATGATCGTAACAATTTTTTATAAAGATATGTTTTGTCTAATTGGAAAAAGTGTCTACCAATTGAGGAAGAAGGTTGGTTGTTTATTTTTTTAATTATTCAGTTCCATTTCAAAATTGCAGCTATTATTTATCATTTTGCTGTCAAAATTAATTAAACTTTAAATTCATTTTATAGTATGGGAACACAGATGAATTCCCACCTGAAATAATGAGTTTGGTTGGCAAAACCATGATATTCAGGGTTTCTGTCAACAAGTTCAATGTGGTGTACAACTCTGCATTTATGCCGCAATTCGTATTGTTGATGATGAAAAATAGATCAACAAGTACCAGTAACTTACCACCACTCATCAGGTTATAACGCTTCAAATCTATACTCTTAGAAATTTGTACTAATTTTAGACACGAAATATTTGTGAAAGCTATTCATTTGTATATATTCAAGGTCTTTGAATTCATTATGTTTAGTCAAGTGATCTTACATACTTTAATGTGATGAATTATGCATTACATTTTTTTTTTGTGATACGTCTAATAGTAATCAGCTGCAGGGAACCACCTCTTCCAGTAATGGAGTTGTCATAGACTCTGAACTGGTTCCAGAAATGAAGAATATTCCACCTGTCCAGAGCAAGATTGTTGATGATGAAGAAGATAACTCATCCACCAAGAAAAAGGTGGTCAATGACGAAGAAGATGTTACACCAGACAAGAAAGAAGTGGTCAATGTTCCTGCAGATAGTCCACATGCTATTGCTAATATAAACGACATTGCTATTGAAGAATCTGGAGAAGGAAGTGTTAAGTCGACTTTGCCAAAGAGGAAGATTGTTATAAAGACAGAGAAAGTGTTCAAGAGAAAGTGAGCAATACAGCTCATCTTTGTTCCCACCAATTTCCCATTCATTTTGCAACTTTAAACTATTTCCGAATTTCATTAAGAGTACTCCATGTTTTCATATTTCAGTTTAAGACTAGGTTCAGCCTTGGTTGACCTGTGTTAAATTTCCTTCGTTTGTAAATATTGATGACATTCAGAATTTCTACGTTAGTTCTCTTCTTGGTGGGTTTTATTAAGCATTTAAAAAAGTGTTCTATAATTATGCATATTATGCAATGTTGCAGCATTTTTCATACAGGTTACAACTTCTTTGTCAAGACTTTATGTTTTTTTTTTTTGGGTTTGCCTACTTATTTCCCCGTTGAGTTAGAACCCTCTTATGAAAAAAGATTTGTTGCTGGAAACATGACATAACTTTAAAACGAGGAAGTTGATTTGCATGATCAATCAAATGGTGTAGTTGTTTGAAGTCTTAAGCAAAAGGCACCTCTGTTGTACCCATTAAACCATATCGTTTGACTATTGAATTGGCAAGGGTCGAATGATCAATCAAATGGTGCAATTGTTTGAAGTCTTAAGCAAAAGGCATCTCAGTTGTACCCATTAAACCATATCCTTTGACTATTGAACTGGCAAGGTTCAAGAACTAAGCGCCCAGATTTGATATTCAGACTTTTTCTGAGACACCGAAACTGAGATACAATCAACCATTTAATTGTCCTTTTGTGCTTTTGCCTCCTATTATTATTTTACCACTCATACATCTAGCTTTAGATAAAGACCTTTGAGGCCTTGCATTTCATTTTGCTGGCCACTTTTGTGAAAGATTTTGAAGAGAAGGCAGCCTCTTTGGTTCTCTTATGCTTCCCTGCATCTTCATTCTTTCATTGATACTCTTTTTTACATCATTACTTTGCACTCAAGATATCAGGATACCATGCCCTGCCATTTTATCCCCTTTTGAAGGGGGAACAATCATTTTAAAACATAGAAGGTTTGTGTTATATAAAAATTTGAGTCATAATGGAAACTTATCTTAGATTCCCAAGGAAACTAATTGTATGTCGTACGCCATAACACAAATCTTACGGTGCCTTCATCTTCAATTGGTACTCAATAAATGGAATATTTGTCCATGCAAACGGTTATAATAAAAAATATATGGAAGAAATTACAAATATGCTCATGAAATTGGATTTTTTTTAATAAAAAAAGTCCAATGAAAAAAAAAATTGCATATTCAGTTTTCAATCTACGGTGCAGTTAATGGGAGCACCATTACCCACGTTTACATACCTGATGCAAATTCAAATTAAAAATTGTACTTTAACATAGAAATAACATATTCTCCTATACATTTCTCAAAACCAAAATTTTCACAAAACTCCAAATGCAGTAGTTAGCTTCTTCAACTCCAATGGATTTTGAAACTACCGCCGAAGCAAGAATGAGGAGGAAAAAAATATTGGACCTCAAAAGGTGTAAGGACAAACAGTCTCAGAATGACGAGAACTCCACACCAAACAAATCATGCATTCCTCCGTCAGAAAGAACCTTTGGTGGCTTCTCCTTCATACATCAAACCAAAAGTCCAAGTTATCTTGAACCAAGTTTCCATGAAGTTTTCAACACTTCTTCTAATAATACACGTAGTCATTAGTGCAATACTAACTATGGAAGATCAGCAATGAATGATATTACGAATGGTACGTCTCTGTTCAATTAACCACTAATTCCATAAGCACTCTTCATATTTTAAAATGCATCATCTCTAAACCACATACTCCATTTTTGTATTCAGATTCTATTGCTCCAAATGCAACAACACTCACAGTACCAGAAAGGAAAAAGGGAACATCTCAAAAAAGCAACTATTATCAGACCCAAAAAGTTCAAAAAAAATTGAAAAGAACTACTTACTCAGCAGGTAAATGTCACATTCACATAAGCTTCATGTATATTCTAATGACTTTTCCATGTGAATATATGTGAGTTTAATCAATTTGCAACACATTCGAGAGCAAAATCTGATACCGACACAACTCCCATTCTGGCTACCACTTCCACATTAGAAACTGGGGAGAGTAGTAACAAGGGAAAAAATTCAGAAAAAATCCAAAAACTCAAGATTCTCGGCCTTATTTTGCACCCAACCATTGAAAATCACTACTACATCATCAAGTGAAAATACTAAAGTTTAATTGTATATATTCACATCAGTGACGGAACTAGAACTTTCAAGTTTGAGGGTCGAAAGGAAAAAAGTAATTTTTACTTGTCGAAAAAGAGTAATTCTTACATGTACTAGAAGAAAAATAATAACATAAAAAATAAAGTTCATCGACAAAGTCATCTCAAGTGGCTTATTTCTTCTTTGCACTTGCCAGTGATGGTACAATTAGTTTTTTCTCCCAACTGATGTATTACAAAGACGAGAACGAGTGGTAGAAGGTAATTGTGATCTTCGAGGTAATTGTCAAATTGACTTCTTACATGATGCTTTGGCCGAGGTTAAGGAGGCAAACCGAGACTTGTCTCAATTGCTTTCAAATCAGCAAGATAAAGCTGTGGTAAGTTTTGAGAAAATTGCTGAAAATTTAAGAGTCTTATGTGATCGTTTTGAAGTTAAACAAGTACCCTCGTATGCTGGAATGTTGCAAGTGTCATTGCCTTTGTTTTATGGTTGTCATAGAGAATATGATACTTGGGAAAAGAGCATAGAGAATTTGTTTGTGTTGCTTAACATAGAGAAAGAGAGTGAGAAAATAGCCTTAGCTATAGGTTGTTTTCGTTTAGTGCTTTGCATTGGTGGAAGCTAGTTTCAAATATCTATTCGCATCATTGGTATCGTAATTTGGATGATTGGCAAGATTTGAGAAGTGCTTTGCGAGAAAGATATTCTGGTACTAACACCTTTGATGAAGCAAAAGGGAAGTTGCTCCATCGTAAGCAAAATGGTAGATCCATTCAATCTTACTTTGAGGAATTAGAAGGGTTGTTTCTGAGTTCAGAAGTGGATGAGAACGACTACATGTTGACAGATCGTTTCCACTATGGCTTGGACAAGTGGTTCAAACAACACCCAAAGATAAGGAGGCAATCAAGGCTCTATGAGACATATTATGCTGCCTTAGAAGTGGAGAGAGAGCATGATACTTCTTGTGGTTGGAATGGTCCAATTGAGGATCCCGTTGGTGTTTGGCGTTGAAGATGGTGATCAACGGACTTGTATCTTCCGTACTAAGTGTTCGGTTGGGTGGTCCAATGAAGTTGATTTGGTAATCGACGGTGGGTCGAGTACTGATTGTATAAGTGAGGAATTTTGCATAGCAAATGGAATCAAGATGGATCCACATACTAGACCATACAAACTTCAATGGTTAAGTGAAGAGATGGTTGTGGATGTTACTAAGAACTCCATGGTACCTTTTCAGATTGGTGAGTATAGGGATGAAATTTACTTTGATGTAATTCCTATGTCTCTTTGTGATATTTTGCTAGGTAGGCCTTGGCAGTCAGATGTAGATGTTGTGCACCGTTGCTCGAAGAATATCTTTGTCTTTACTAAAGAGGACAGAAAATATATTCTTAAGCCTTTGGCTTATGAATAATCTGAATCTGTGCGAGAGAAAAGACGTAAGATAACCTATACACAAGGGAGAGAAAAAGTCGAGAGAGTGACCCAAGAAAGTAAAAAGGGTCACGCTGAGGTAAGACTTGAGGCGAGAGAAAATCATGAAAATAGCGTGGAAACAGAAAAAAATGCACGCAATGAGAGAAAATCAGAGTGTAGTGAGGGTGAGGATTTTACTAACCCTTATATCTCGTTTGTTCCTTGTGCAGGTATAGAGGTTGATGATTCGAGGACGAATCCTCTTAAAGAAGGAGGGGATGATGAGAATCATGTAGCCTTCCATGGTGATTCTCCTAGTGAGGGGAATGAACTAGTCCTTCATTCTAGTTTTGGAATGCCAAGTTTACTTTGCAGGCCAATCAAGGAAGAAAGGATGGATCTTGACTACCTATGTGATAGGGAGTTGGTTCGAGAGAGCTATGATCAAGACGATGAGAATGTCATTAACTTTGGGGTTCAAACCAAAGGAGATGATGACCTCATGGAAATAAGTGCTGAAGAGTATGAAGAGAGTTTGACTCTGTGTGCTCCATGAAGATTATTGATCAAGCTAGTAAGAAGAGTCATTTAGGTTCTTGAATGGACGGCCTATTTGATCAAAGTGTTCCAGATTGAGTCCATTGCTACACAATTGGATAGGTGCAAACTATCTTAATTATTTCAAGTGTTTTTCCAATCTTTTGGAGTCAATAAAGAGAATTCTACAAGTTTTGGAGTAAATTGGAGTTTTCTACAACTTAAGGGGCGCAAGACCAATATTCCACTTTTGGAAGGGCGTTCAAGACATTTTACTTCAAATTTGGAGCTGATTTTCAAGATTAGAGTTAGTCTAAGTCTAGGAGTCAATTTTTGAATTTTTATCTAGTTAAATAAGTTATGTGGACTGAATTAAACTAGAGTGTTTTGATTAGGAGTCTTAGATTCCTTCTAGATATTATCCTACTTGAGGATAAGTCATTTAGATAAGGTTTCCTAGATTTTAGATAGAGTCAAAGAGATCAAATACTCTTCTACTTTTACTCCTTGTGAGATAAGATTAGAGAGTTCTAATTGATCTTCTTCTATTGGTGCTGGCCGAAAAATCTAAGCCTATAAATAGGGGGCTTAGCCGAAATTTCAAAGCACCCTTGAGTGGTCATTTTTGTTGTCTCTTTTGAGGCTGTGAGGAATTTTTGTTAAATGGAGTGTCCATTTTTCGTGTCAAGTATGATTTAACCAAGAGGGTTTTCATCTTGTCTTGGATCTTTTTGATCTTGCAGAAACCGTTCTTTTTCAAGTATGCTTCTTGATAGAATTGTTTTTAAAACAAAACTTCTTATTTTCATACTACTTCTAGTAGTTCGATTGATGAGCCTTTCTTTTGGCTTGGTGTTCGAATTTCATGATGAGTG